TCTTAGCCACTGCTCTCTGCATCGACAACACCACCGGCGTCTGCCACCTCACCCTCGACCGATACCCAACACACCAACCCTGCTCACAAATCCAAGATCCTCTTCAACCTTCTCCGATTTCTGCCGCCCATCGCTGCCGCCGCCGATCTCACTCCTTGCAGCCGTTGATATTCTCTACCGAGTTGATTAAACAACATAGATAACTTCTTTGCCAATTGTAAGTCCCTCTCTGTCGTCGCCGATTTCTCTCTCACTGCAATTTTAATCTGCCACCGACAATTAAACAAAGTTTTCTGGTGACCCATCTCAGTTCGTCTGTAGTTCTTGATTTGATAACTCCAACGGAAACACCATCATCAACAAAAAGGATCAACAAATCACAAGCCTGTGTGTGTGAGATATAGAGAAAAGTTGGTTTTGATATGGATTGGGGGTTTAAGGGTGTGGAAGGAGATGAGGGCGATTGAGGTGGGTGTGTGTGTGTGTGTGAGAGAGAGAGAGAGAGAGATGAGATGAGAGGATAGTTTGGTCATTTTAGGTGAGGATTAAAATATTCTTAGGGCATATTAGACATTTTATGTAACTTAAAGTTGTGCTTTTGGCTCTATTTTTTTAAAATGAGGTGTCATTGTCTAAAAAAGAACTAAATTGAATATGCCTATTGATGGACAAATTTCAAAAATTGTCGTTGTAATTAATTCAAAAAAAGAAAAAAAAAATAAAATCACAATATATATGTACCGCGTGCTAAAAGATATAGTGTGCTATTGACTCTAGAATAAGGAAGGAGCCGGAAATTGTTATTTGTGTCTTATATGTGGAAATTTAGTGAATGGATACAAAATAATTCTTTTAAATCTATAAAATTTTAAATTTTTAATTGACTAAAAAATTCAACCGTCACATCTTCTCGTGTTTCACTATTAAAAAAATAGAAACGTATGTTGAAGATTGTGCATCATAATCAACACCTCTACCTTGGTAGATCAAGCCTAGTCATTAGATAATTACTGAATATATATATATGTGTGTATGTATATATCTAGTCATGAGGTATAATTAAAATAAATCAACCAATGTACACGGATATGTGTAGAATGACCTTTTCTTAATGAGTCTAGGTCAACAAATGGAATTTACCATTTATGCCGGGAGATGTATTCTTAATGAAGGCTTAGTCTAGTTCACATGTTTTATTTTGAAAAACATTAGCATATAATATATATATATATACAGTGGCGAATCCAAGAAGAAACATTAGCATATAACATATATATATATATATATATATATATATATACAGTGGCGGGTCCAAGAGGGGGGGCTTGGGTGGGCTTGACTTCCCCTACCAAATTTAGTTTTATTTTTTTTTATTTTTTTATTTTTAATATTGGTATATTTATCCTAATGTTTTAAAAAAGAATAAATTAGTAACAATATTAGCCTACCTTCCAATTTTAACCCATCCAAACAAATCCAATATCTAAGCCACAATTTTAAAACAAAGACCTAACCAAATAGCCCAAGCCAAATAAGCCTTAAACAATCACTAAGTCCAAGCACAGAGAATTCCTAAATTCATATTTTTGTACAAATCAAGGAGTTCACTCATTCTCTTCCTCTAATCACTAATTCCAAGCACAGAGAATTCCTAAATTCATATTCTTGTACAAATCAAGGAGTTCACTCATTCTCTTCCTCTAAAGTCTAATCCTATTTCCTCTAAAATTTTCTAACTCTTTAATATGTCGATCTCCGATTCTCCTTGGTTTAATAATAACCCCCCATTAATAATTTTTGGATTCGCCCTTGTGTGTGTATATATATATACACACACGGCAAATATATATATATGTGTGTATATATATAATGCATATTTTTACATATTTAAGCAAATGATTTATGCCCGTAAGGGCATAGCGGCATTGATAGAGATTTGGAAAATAAGTCTTTAAAATCTCGCTTTCAAATCGTACTTCTGACTTAAATGTTACGTATACTATGGATCTATATGGAGCCATACACGTACTCTAAAAATTAAAAATAAAAAAAAAAAAAAAAAAACCTATGCATTCACACAAAATTTTTTTTAGGCACATTAATTCTTTTTTATCACAGACTTCACAAGTCAGTCAAAAAAAAGAAATAAAAAAAAAAAAAAAAATGGTTATGCAGACTCGTCAAGGACACACAAACTGTCAAATTAACCCGGCTAAGTTTTCTTTCAAGAATGGTGATTTGACTTTTCACAGTCGCAAATGTAGTGCAATGTAATGAAATCAATTTTACAAGCATGACTAATACGTTACTTTTTATAATATAATTTAATACAATAAGTTTTTAGTAAATTTTTAAAGACTATTTAACACAAATAACTTATTTGTAAATTCTAAGTCGTCATGAAAAAAGAGGGTTTAGTAACTACATTATTATTATTATTATTTGTATATTAATGAAAAATAATAGATTTAAGATTAAAATAAATGAAAATTCATACGATATTTAACATATGAAAATAGAAAATAAAATTAGAAAAAATATACAAATCAAAAGTAAAAGAAATTTCTGAATCAACATATATATTATATAACATGAATATACTATGACCGTATATATTAATTATTTATATTCCACCTTTTTGTTTTATTTTAATTAATATATTGTATATTTCTGTAATGTTGAAATGAAAAGTTTTATATTGACACAAACAAATATAAATTTAGTTGAAATTCTAAATAATCCAATATGTAATATATTATATATTATTGTTGAAGAATTTATTTTATTTTATTTTTAAAAAAAGGTTGGTCAACTGTTAGAATCTTTCAGGCTCCTAACTAAAAGACTTTTTTTTTTTTGGTTAAATTGACAGAACAAAAAAACATAGATTTGATTGGTTAGTTCGACGAACCATGCTTGTCGGTCATAGTTTTCACAAAACCAAACCGTCTCTAACCTCATATTTGCAGCATTGCAATATGAATATGTGGCAATATATATATATATATATATATATATATTTATATTTTGATGTGCACTAAAAAGGGTACATCTATGGACTTGAGCAGCATCGGAATACACTAAATGTGGTACACGTATATTTTTATTTTTGAGTACTTAAATTCTTTTTCCAAAATTCTTGATGATTTGAAAATTATTAAAATTATTCCAAAATCCACACTTGCACGATTCTGATGAATTTATATTGAGAAATGTGAGGAGAATGATTATTATATATATATATATATATATATATATATATATATATATATTAACATATTTTGAATACATTGTCCTAAGTGTTTTTAAGATACATAACAATTTTTTTTATTTTTTCTTAGACACGTGTATCGACCCTATAATATACACATTAATCGAATTAGGAATATGATTCAAAAGTAAGAGCTCAAAATTTATTTTTGCAGATTTTTACCAATGCCGTTGTGTCCCCAAGAACCATATCGATTAAAAGGAGACAGTAAAAGGTTTATGGATGGCACTCAACAATAACAAGTATGATTGAGGAGTCAAGTAATTAATTTTTATTTTTTATTTTTTATTTTTATTTTATTGATTTCTATAGCAAGCTAAGCCCACTAAACAGGCAGAGGCCCAACAATAATTGGACCACCAAACGCCATAAGCCCAAAGGCGAAATACAACCAACACTTTTGCATGGTTCCACATTTGTACAAACTAGTTAGTGTTTTACATTAGTTGTGCATGGATCACCTCAATCCTTAGGTTGGGATTCCTCTTAGGATTGCTCAAGCTCAAGACGAATACTAATGTCATGTTTGGTTGAAATAGATAGAGGGGAGAGGGAAAGGATGGATGAGGCATCTTAGGGAAGGGAACTTATTTTCCTCACTTTTTGTTTGATTGGATGGAATGGGTAAGGAAAGATGGGTTTTATATTATTTTTACTAATATACCCTTATTATTTAAAATTCAAAAATTTCTATAAAATTTTTAAGAAGGTTAGAGATGAAAAATACATATTTATGTTAGTTATTACTTTTTTTTCTTTCTCCTCTTCCCCCAATTTTGGGGATAGAAAAATACAAAGGAGGAAGATGCTTCCTCCCTCTTTTCTCCTCTCTCCAATCAAACATGAAAAAGTTATTTTGTCCCCTCTCATATTCATACGTCCTCAATCCCTCCCTCCAACCAAACATAGCATAAGTGACCGGAATCTCTCTATATCTTGTTGCCATCCACCACTGTGTCCTCCAAACTAAGCTCAGTTGCCGTCGACATTCTTCTTACGGGCTAAGGTTCTTCACCGGAGTTTGGTCAAATAATCACCATTAGTTAATCATACCATTATTTGCGGTTATTTGAACCTGTTTTTGAGATTGTTAGTTTGTATTGGGTTTGTCCCTCGTTTGCCTTTTCTTTGGACTTTTTACTTCTGCCTTTGTGGCCAAAGCCCACATTCTAATTATTTTCTATTTATTTCAGTTGCTTTAACTTTCGGAAAAGGAAAATAATAAAAAAAACATTTGCAATTTTTTTTTTATTTATGTTTCATTAGTTGTAAGACCAATCAAAAGTGTGTTAATGTTATTTATTTATTTAAATTTTTTTTTGGGTCCATGATGTTTATTAAATGTTATCATTGCACAACTAACTTGTTCAATCTCTCTCCGTCTTTTAAAAATTTGGACAGCATGAACAAGCCAAAAAAAACTTGATGGTTTCTTAGGAATCAGATCGTTTGGTTGTGGTTGATCTTTTGGCATGCTTAGCCCCAAGTCTCAACCTTATTATATGTAAGAATTGCAGAAGAGAGTCTAACAGCCGGACATCTCTGACCGTATTTATGTGAGTGAGAGATGATATAATGACATTGTTATATGTTATTCTTCCCTCACAAAAAAATATATATATATATAAAAATAAAAAATAAGTAGTCAAATGTGTTGAATCCTGAGACTAATTATTATTTTCTTTTATATAATTATCACTATCCACTTAATTAGATGAATAAAGCTTAGTAAAAAGTAAAACATACAACATGAGATTAATTTGGTAAGAATTTATTGTATAATCCGTGGGGTGAAGAAAATAATACAAATAAATAATATATGAACTGTGATTCTAGAGTAGAAATAGCCAGTTTTTTTTTTCACCCCTCTTATTGAGGTTACAAAAATCACATGATTAAGGTTCCACTTATGGCTTCTTCACAGGGAAACCATTCTCCACCCATGCAACATAACCTCCATCCATATTGAACGCATGCGTGAAACCCTGCAGTTTCATAAGAACAAAATTAGTATAAGGAATAGTCGAACAACACTCAATTAAATGTGAATAATAAATGACGTCATGATAATATTATCACATTTAATGACGTCATAAAGATGAATATATTTAACTTTCGAACTACTTACCATCACTATTCAATTAAAATGATGAATTAGTGCTACATCCAAAGACCACCCTTCCAATTATTAGAGTTAACCAATATATATATGTATATATATATATATAGTCTCACTGCATATATATTTGTTTTTTATTTTTTGTTTTTTTTTTACAGTCAACTGCTATTTTATTTTTAAGTATGGTCAAGAAAAAATTTCATCTTACTGATAGACTTACAAGATGGTATTCAAATAAAAATTCAATGGAAAAAAATATATATATCAAAATAGAAATGGAAAAGAACAAATAGATTTCTTATTTTACTTGAAAGTGAGATGAAAAAGGAAAGATAGAAGGATAAACTTACAGCATTAACAAGTCTCGTAGTTGCATTAAGGGATCTTACTCCACTTTGATAACCCTTCAGCCATAAAAACAATATATAAAAAATTAAAAAAAACAACTCCAATTATATACAAGATAAATGTGCATGCTTCTTTTTCTTCTTCTTCTTTTTTTCTTAATTTTTTTTTTCTATATATATATATGCAGTATCTATAAATATATTACCACCACGAGCTGAGCATCTTTGCTGAAAGCTGATAAGACATTATCCAGAAATGCAGGATCTCTTAGCCTACCTGAAACTCAAAATCTCAACAGAATTTTATCAATCTTTATTTAATTAAAATCTTATATATATAAACAGAAAAGAAATGGCTATATTATATGAATTGATTGAAAATCACCTCCGGGGGCAGTTAACATGAAGGGGATGTTCAGAATTTTATTTGTATCTACATGACCGTCCTTGAACTGGTTTTTACTCCTATCAAATCAGTCAATTCCCAAAATCAGAAAAACATTGAATTAAAAAACCCAAAAATTTTAAAATAAATTTAAAAGAAATACATGAATTTTGTGTTCCGTTGTATAGAATTGGTGCTTTGGTCTTTGATTCTAATTTCAAAAAAACCAATTCCATGCAATCGAAAATAGCAAAATTGTAAAAGAGACTAAGTTTTCACCTGACATCAAGGTAAGTGTATCCCGAATCGAGAAGAGCTTTAGCTTTGTAAATGTCAATGGTGACCACTTCTGCTCCTGAACTAGAAGACACAAACAGAAGAAAAAGAAGAACGGGAACAATAAGAAGCCCACGAGGAATCACAAAAGAACCCATAATATTCCAATAATGTTGTATATGTAACTGTATGTGTATATATGTATAGATCTCTTTCTTTGTTGGCAGTGCTTCATTTAGATGAATTAGTGGCTATATATATATGTATATAAGTGGAGGATCTGCATTTCCAGAGAACACACAAGATTGGTGACATTGTCTTTGGTTGACAATGAAGATGGAAAAAGTAAACAGTGGTGTTCTGATAGCCAGCTTGTTCATTTGTTTTTCCCTGTACTATGGTATTATTATTATTATTTTCGAGTTGCATCTTTATTTACACAAAAATGTTAATAATTATTAAATAGTTCGAAATCATTAGAAGAAGTCATTGTCATGCAATTAAAAAATTAAATAAGTCTAACACATTTGATCATATGATTCTTTGTGATTATATCTGGCCCTAGACTATATAGACCTAATCATTTATCTGAAAGTGCATTATTTGATAGAATATGATCAGAGTTTATACATGCTCATTTTGAATAAAAATATGAGCCATGCGCGCACATGGTTAAGTCGGTGCACTGAATTTTTATTCTCTCATTCATTACATATACTGAGGGTTTATAGATTTCATCAATAGTGATGTCTCCTTGTTTATCCATTTATGCGCTAATCTAGTTACAGTAAAATATACAAGCTTTGTAAACAGCTTATCATCAAATGTATATATATATATATATATATATATATATTGTCTTTATCTGAAAAAAAAAATTAAATATGTGGACTTAGGTGAAAAGGACAGAAAATAATTTTTTTTTCTATCTGGAAACATTTTGTCTATTTTAATTGAATTTAAAATTCAAGTGTTTCTTAGGTCTTTTGATGTTTCTCTATTCAAGAATATACACCTGCCTTGAAGATTGAGGTGCATTTCAAATACTTATATATTATTCAATGAAAACGGACCTTTCCTAATGAGTCAAGGTCAACAAATTGAATTTTCCACTCATGCCATCACATATTCACATGTATTGGGATGCCTTTAGCTAAACAAGTTGAGATCATTAAATATATTGGATTGACCACTCTTGCCATGAGAGAGATGTTGTATTCTTAGTGAAGGCTTGGACTGATTCACATGATTTACTTTGGAAAATAAAAAAGAAAAGCACATTTTGCAAACTTTAGACATGCATTCATATTTAGGGTTTGGAAACATCCTAATAAGATTAGAAGCGAATTTAAAATGAGATTTTAAAACCGGTTAAGTCTTGAACTCATCCAAATAATCATAAATACATAAATAAATATTTTTTTATTTGCTATAATTATAATTTATTTTATTTTTTTTGGTTAATTACAACAACACTTCCTGAAATTTGTCATAATGACACTTATATACAAGTTGAATATTTTTTGGGCAATGATATTTCTAACAAAATTTGAAACCAAACAGACCCTTAAAAAGTTTGAAAAGGCATGAAATATTGGCATCTCTCTCATAATCATGGCTAAGTTACAAGAATAGAAGGTATTAAAACAGTGTTCCCCGTCACAAACCAAGCCATCCTATTGCTTGACAAGTTGTTTATGGTTGAAAAAATTGAGTTTGATTTTGTTTAGAACTAAACCAATAATAAATTTAAAACAAGTTGAATCAATGGAACTGTCTACATCCAACTGATCCAAATCATACAACAAGGATTTAGATCGGTTAGGGTTTATGAACTAATCTCTTAGTTTTTTTTCTTTGCTTTTTTTTTTTTTTTTTTTTTTTCTGGATAATTGAGTGTTTTACCCATTAGATCACTAGAATGGTCGACCAATCTCTTAGTTTGAAGCATGGTCTAACTATATAATATACCTTTAGGTTGAATCAAAGCTTATTTAAACTAAGGTTTATGACTTAGATCCGCCCGAGTCCCACTCCTTTATAAATATAATTGACATTTTGTTACCATAGATAAAGAAAGATTGGTAAAAGAAAATATATAAAGTAAAACAAACATACAAATTACTAACTAATATAAAATATAAAAAAATAATAATAATACAATTTATTGTCCAACTCCTTGGGTAAAGAAGTCAATAATACACAGTACATGATATATGAAACGTGAAGCAAAGTTATATTATGATGTTGATGGCTTCTTCACAGAGAACCCTTCTCCACCCATGCAGCATAACCCCCATCCATATTGAACACATGCTTGAAACCCTGCAGTTCCATACGATCAATGGCTCTTTAGTCTTTTTACTCACTCAACACACAAAAAGGAGCTCCAAAGAAAAACTCTCCACTTGCATAACACATGGTCAGCATCTTCATGATGTATCCAATTTTTTTTTTTTTTTTTAACCGTTTCTTACTAATAAATTAGTCTTCTAAATTCAGATGAGGTATCATTTTGTTTTACTATTTTTTACTAATAAATCAAGAGTAATAGGACTTGCTTAGTTTGTAATTATAGAAACAGTTTTCTGTTAACTGAAAACAGAAAATTGTACAAAAAAAACTCTGTTTGGTTCAGTTTTTTGAAAACTGTTTTGTAAAAACTCAGTTATAAAAAGTCCGTTTTTAAAAAATTGTTTTTTATAATTATTTGAAAACTGTTGTCTATTTTCTGAATTTTTGAGAATTTTTTTCAAAATTACAAATCAAACATCTCCTGGTGTCCAAAAAAAAAGACTCTTTTTACTCATTAATGGGAAAGTAAAGACTCTTTTCTTAAGGTATTGAACTTACAGATTAATATATATATTTTTTCCTTAGCAAATTAGGGGGGTAGGGGACTAGAATAAGGGCACATCTGCTTGGGGAGATGAACACTTTCTCAATTAAGCTACTGAATAATGTATATTTAACTTAGAGATTGATGTAAATTGTTGCATCAATCTGTAACAAAATTTGAAAAAGAAAATATTTGAAATAAAAAAAAGTATTTAAAATCAAAAACCCTAAAATCATCAAATTCTATCCTCTTTGAAAGCTTCCTTCAAGTATGTTTGATTTTGAATATTTTTCTTTTCAAAAACCAATTATAATTTTATCATTTTTAATAAAACCTATAGTCTAATATTAGAATAAAATTAGAGATGGACCGATTACTGCTATATTCAAAGCCTAAACGAAGCAACTTTGAACCATGAATTTCAAAGACCAACCTTCCAACAAATTTGAGCAAGTAAAATTTACTTCTTTTTTTTTTTTTTTTTTTTTTTTTTTGGAATTTTAAGCAATTTCATAAAATAAATTACTTTGTTTTGATCACAAAGTTAAAAGAAAAAAATAAAATAAAACTTCTATTGACCACCAAGACTAGAAAAAGCAACTTTAGATTAAGCTTGATTTTTCTTTTACTTTGGGCAAGCAAATTTTCTATCTTATTAATAGACTTACAAGACAGTATTCAAATAAAAATTTTAGGGGAAAAAATATTAATTACTTTTCAAATTTAAGAAAATTATATAGAAATTTAGAGAACAAATGGTTACTCTTTTTCTTTCTATGTTTTGGAGGAATGTATACGAAAAGTTTTACCGTGTTAACAAGATCAGTTGTTGCTCCAAGAGATCTGACCCCACTTTGACAACCCTTCACAGGTTCAAAAAAATAAGTCAAAATCAAAATACCCAATAAATGTGTCTTACTATTTCAGGTTGCAATCTGCTAAAAATTCCTTGATGAATATATATGTGTGCGCGCGCGCGCGCGCATATATATATATATATATATATTAGTATGTATGACCACAACAAGATGGTCATCCTTGTTGCAAGCTGCTAAAACTTCCTCCACAAATCTAGGATTTTTCATCCTACCTGAAATTCAAATATCACAAACAAATTTTTATCAATCATTATTTAACCCAAATCTGAAAAATAAATACAAAATCTAAAAACAGAACATATAATGGCTAAAATATGTATGACTTGATGCTAAAATCACCTTCAGGTTTGAAGAACATGTAAGGGATGTTCACAATTTTCTCTGCATCTGCGTGCCCCTTCTTTAACTCTTCCTCAGTCCTATTAATTCATTCACTTCCCAAATTCACCAAAAAAAAAAAAATAAATAAAATAAAAAAAACACATGAATTAAATTAGAAAGAGTGGTTTTTTTTTTTTCTTTTTTACCTTACTTCAAGATAAGGATGGCCCGATTGGAGGAGATCTTTAGCTTTGTGAACATCAACGGTGATCACAATCTCTGCTGCTGAGCTACAAAACAGTAACACAAGAAAAACATATATCAAAACCACCCATACACGAATACCGTGTCTATATAAATACGTGTGTGCGTTTACATATTTGTTGCACACCTGTTTATAAAAAATACTCTTAACAACTTGATCTCATGCAGTTTCGTTGAGTGGCCATAACAATAACGTGACATGTCTGACGCACTTAATATCTTGTCAGATTCAAGATGCCATAACTTCCGTATCCGTAACGCCATCCAAAAGAAGAAGATTGCAGTTTTGTCTTCCAAAAAAGTAAGGTTATGAATCTGGGATTTCGAAGTTTTAGAGAAATGAATAGAATTGCATATTTTTAAGTAATTTCAGGAGGTATGTCGCCAAAACTGCATTGTTGAGGATTTTTTTCTTTTTTTTTTTTACAGTTTGTCCTTAATGGTATGTTGTGAAGTTTGTCATTTAAGAGAGAATAATAATCAAACCACATTTTTGTTGGACCTCACATGTCACAAATTATTTTATGCTACAAACACAAAACATTGAATGAGACAGTGAGTTTTTTGGTCGGAAAATAGTTTTAAAATATATTAGTTGTCAATTTTTCTTTCATTTTAGGAATTCCAAATTATTTTTTAAATTTGAAAAGTCAAAATTCCCATAGTTTCATAATTACTATTCCAATTTTTCATGATTCTTTCAACTTTGTGTTTTACCATTTAAAATTTAAAGAACAACTTAGCAATTTAAAAAGGAAAAAATGCATTAATTGCAAATTTCTTTAAAAAATTAGAAAATAAAATTTGACAACTAATACAGAAGTGAGGGGTATACATATAGTATGTAGTACCGCATTTAGAGACATGACTTAGGAGTTTACATAATGAAATATAACATATTATCTCGTTATTAGTAATTTTATAAGTAGGTGGGTCAACTTTTTTAAAATAGTGTATTGCCGTTACGAGGATACACTAATGACGTGACGCGCGCACCGTATCTACTCTCATCTTAGGGATGTCCTATTTCTAATGGGACAAGTTTGGGATCAAACTAATTGGGTGAAGAGAGAGTTTGGGAAGAGGACTTAAAATCCGCAAAGCATTGCACCAATTAATAATTAATACACAAATAGATAATATTTTATTGGCTATAGTTTTTATTTTTCTATGTTTCTTATGGTAACTTTAAATTTTAGCAATATTTTTGTTATTATGATTGTATTTGAGTATACCACAAAAAAAAAATTTACAAAATTTATATTAACTGTACCGAAGTAGATTGAATTGTTTTGTTTTTTTTTTTAAATGTGTCGTGGCACTTTAAATCTGCCCTGGGTGAAGCAACCCGAATCGAGTTTGAGAAAAAAAATTCATTGATGGGACAGATTTGGGAAAGGGTTTTCCGTTGAACCCGTCCTGTTTGACATCTCTAAAAGTCCATACTCCATACAATTAATGTAAAAGAGTATACAGATCTTTTGTTATGGTGGGCTCCGCGCCCCCTTTGGATTTTTAATATTTACATTTTATATTCTAATTTTTAAAAAATTTATGAAAATGCCCTACTTAAAATTACAATTCACCCTATTAGATTATTTTTTTTAGCATTTTATACTTAATTTGCCCCACTAATTTTTTTTTTCTTTTCATTTTATACTTTAAATTTTTTAAAATTTGTGAAAAAAACCTTATTAAAATTACAAAAATAAACTCATCATATCATATAATTTTATACCCTGACCCCCTCATAAAAATTTCTGGGTCCGTCACTGCTTCTAATGCATCACTTTTGTACTGGGCTTTGCCCACGGGTTTGCTTATATATATATCTTGGGCCAAGGTTTTTTCCATTGTGCTAATACCCTATTGGGCTGTACATTTTTAGACAATATATGTATACAATTAACTTTACCTTTTTACAATTAAAAAATAAAATAAATAAAATGTGTGAAGAGTGAAGGCTTGTTGATGAATAATTTAAAATAGTGTGTTGAAAGAGAAGTGTGTATAAAATTGTCAGGTTGGTTTTACCTTACATAAAGAAGATTGGGAAAACAAAATATATAAAGTAAAAACATACATCATCAGATTTGATAAGAAATTACTGACTAATACACCAAAAAGTTTACAATTTATTGTCTAATTCCTTGGGTGAAGAAGTCAATAATACACACATACAGTGCACGATACATGAACTGTGATTCTGTTAAGCAAAGTTATTATGAAGTGGAAATAGCAAATATATAAATATATGTGTGTGTTTTTTTTTTGTCACCCCTCTTATAAAGTTACAAAACTCATATGATTACAGCGCTGCTGATGGCTTCTTCACCGGGAAACCATTCTCCACCCATGCAGCATAACCCCCATCCATGTTGTACACGTGCTTGAAACCCTGCAGGTTCATTAAAGAAAAATAAAATGAAATTGATAAGCAGGCCGGGAATCAAATTAATCCGACTATTTTATGTGGGTGGAAATAATGTCATCAAGACGTCACCAATCATAATAACATCTACACACACAAGATGGTATTTAAACAAAAATTTGACAAAAAATAATCAATTAGGAAGAACAATACTTTTCAAAATTTAGAACAAATAGTTATTTTTCTTTTGTCGTGTTTGGTGAAATGTAAGATAGAAAGCGATAAGCAAATAAACTTACAGCATTAACAAGATCGGTACTTGCTTTAAGAGACCTTGCTCCACTTTGACAACCCTTTATGTATTAAAAATAAAATAAAAATCACCAATCAAAATCAAAATAGGAAATAAATGTGTATGCCTCTGTTTCTTATGTGTGTGTGTGTGTGTATGCATATATGAGTAGTGTGGGCATAGATATACAAGTATATATTACCACAACAAGATGATCATCCTTGTTGCAAGCAGCCAAAACTTCCTCCACAAATTTAGGATTTTTCATCCTACCTGAAATTCAAATATCACCAACAGATTTTTATCAAGCATTATTTAATCAAAATCTGAAAAATAACTACAAAAAACGAAAAAAAAAAAGGACTTGTTGGTAAATTCACCTTCAGGTTTAAAGAACATGTAAGGGATGTTCACAATTTTCTCTGCATCTACATGCCCCTTCTTGAACTCTTCTTCAGTCCTATATTAAATTCAATCACTTCCCAAAATCAGAAAAAAATAATAATAATAAAAAATCCAAAAATTGAAAAGAAAGAAAAAAACTCTAAAAACACATAATTTAATTTGGAAGATTGATCCTTCTTTTACCTCACTTCAAGATAAGGGTAACCCGAATGGATGAGATCTTTAGCTTTGTGAACATCAACGGTCACGATCTCTCCCGGCCTAAAAAACAGAAACAAAAGAAAAACATATATTGCAAAACCACCCAACAAGGATATTGTGTATATATATAACCGTATGTGTATATATTTAACAGTAAAACATACATCATCATACTTTAAGTATGTTTAACACTTACTTGGTTCAGTTTTGTATAGAAACTTGTTTGGGTGCAGTTTTCTGAAAATTTAGTTAAAAAAATATTTGCGTTTTCAGATAAATTTCTTTAATAATTCTCTAAAAATAATTTTTTATTTTCTGAGTTCGTGAGAACTGTTTTCCAAAAACTAAACCAACCAGTCCCTTATTGTCTAATCCATTGGGCGAAGCAAAGTTATTACAGTTCGAAATAGCCCTAAATTTTTTTTTTTTTTTTTTTTTCCACCCCTATTATAAAGTTACTAAAATCAAATGATTACATCTCTGTTGATGGCTTCTTCACAGAAAATCCATTCTCCACCCATGCAGCATAACCACCATCCATATTGTACACATGCTTGAAACCCTGCATTTTCACAAGAAAAATGGTTCTTTAACTCACTTCATAGTTCACACAAAAAACAGAAGCTCCAAATATATATATATATATATATATATATATATATATATATATATATATAATTCATACTAATAAACTATAGTCGACCATTGAAACAAAATAAAAGATGGACCAATTACTACTACATTCAATGTCTAAACAGCAAATTTTACTTGGTGAAAGAAGAGTTTGAATGAAATGACAAGCCGAAGACTCTCTATTTAATGGATACACTTAACTCGGTTCCACATCACTCTCCATTTAATGGATACACTTAACTCGGTCTCACATCACTCTTCATAAAATGTATGGATGAGGACCTTTCGATTTTGTTCAAACTCTTCGACCTTAAAGTAATTAACCATGAATTAAAGTCAGGTTGATTTCCATTGACCAACCAAGACTTAAAACAGCAATTGACCAGCAAATTTTCTTTCAACTTTGGCCAAGCAAAATTTCTCTTGTTAATAGATTTATAAGATGGTATACAAATAAAAATTTGGCTAAAAATAATCAATTAGCAAGAACAGCACTTTTCAAATTTAAGAAAATTAAATAGAAATGTAACGAACAAACAGTTATTTTTTTATTCTTTTTCCCGGGAAATGTAGGATGAGAAGCGAAAAGTGAATAAACTTACAGCATTAACAAGATCGGTACTTGCTTTAAGAGACCTGGCTCCACTTTGACAACCCTTCACATGTTAAAAATAAAAAATCACCAATCAAAAATCATAATACCAAATAAATGTGTATGCCTCTGTTTCTTTTATATATAATATGTGTACATATATACTCCGTGTATATATATATATATATATATATATATAAGTATATATTACCACGACAAGATGATCATCCTTGTTGTAAGCTGCTGAAACTTCCTCCACAAATTTAGGATTTTTCATCCTACCTGAAATTCAAATATCACCAACAGATTTTAATCAATCACTGTTTAATCAAAATCTGAAAAATAAATATAAAAACTAAAAACAGAACATAAAATGGCTAATATATATATATGTGTGTGACTTGATGCTAAAATCACCTTCAGGTTTAAAGAACATGTATGGAATGTTCAAAATCTTCTCTGCACCTACATGGCCCTTCTTGAACTCTTCTTCAGTCCTGTTAATTCAATCACTTCCCAAAATCAGAAAAACCTAAAAAAAAAAAAAAGAAAAAAAAAAGAAAAAGAAAATCCAAAAAACCCAAATTTGTAAGAATGATTTTTTTTTTACCTCACTTCAAGATAAGGATAGCCTGAATGGATGAGATCTTTAGCTTTTTGAACATCAACGGTCACGATCTCTGCTGTTGAGCTAAAAACAGAAACTCATATAAGAATATTGTTGCGTGTATATGTAACTGTATGTATAGTGTGTGTATATATATACCTTTGTTGGCAGTTTTCCATTTTGCTGAATTTGATTGTGGTTGTATTGTGAAAGGAGTATCTTTGCTTTTGAGAGAACGCAGATCTGGTGTTTATTTGGGGTTTGGGTATATATGTATATATATATGAGTGGCTGTGTTTGTTTGGTTTGTAGGGAAAAAAAACAGTTGTTGAATATGGAAAAATGGGCTGTGGGATTGACTGTTTGTTGCGTGTTTGTTCATTTGTTTTCTGTGGACCAGTGTACTATGACATTAGTATTAGTATTATTATTATTATTATTATTATTATTATTATTTTTTCCGGGTGTGTTTGGTAGGATTGATTTGGAGGAATAGGATTAGAAAAGAAAAAAAATGATAGTTTGAAAATGTGTTTGGGTAGTTTAGGTAGAGAGAAAAGAGAGGATAGAGAGGGATAGTGAGGGATAATAAATTGTATATTTTTAATACCTAAAATACCCTTCACAAATTCACATATAAAAATTTAATTTCATTTATGTCCCAATTATGTAATTCTATTTATGTCCCAATTGTTGAGTAGTCTTGAACCCCATAGGAATGTGAAATTTGGAGAAATTTAGATAGAGACATTTAACTCTACTTTTAATTTAAAAAGAAAAAAGAAAAAGGTATAAGGTGATGACTATTATAAAAGGTAAGACAGTAATTTAATCACTATTCTTTTTTTTTTTCTCTTCTCTATCTTATCCAAACAAGAATAATTATTCTTTATTTTCTTTTCTTTTCTCCTCTATCTATCAAAGACGAATATAAATTATTATTATCCTTTCTTCTTTTTTCTCTCTCCTAATTAATATTATCCTTTTTTTTCTTTTCTCCCCTATTTATCTAAACACAACCTAAACAAATGCCACACGGCATCTACAGAGATGAAACAATGACCAAGTCAAAGGATCAAAATACATGAAGCTGTAACAATCCAAAATCAACAAACTAACACCCCTTGTAGGCGAGATCACAATCTCGACAATCAAATGAAAGGGTATTAGCACAAGTGGAACAACCAGCCCTACATAATAACAAGCATGGCCAACGATATCTGTTTCTTATCCCCTCTCACACGATCTTCCTGTGAACCTCGATAAGAAGACTGACGTCACTTTCGCCCTGTACGAACCGGCAATGAGCCTTGGTTCTGAGAAAAAGCCGAAGAATCGGAAGTCGAATCAAGACCAAACCGATAAGCGTATCCCACACACCACACTGGCACAGCCAGACACGTCGCGAAAGAAAAGACAGATGGGACTATAAAATTAATACAGAACGTTCCAGCAAGAAAATTATCGGGATTGCAAAACAGAAGCCCCCCAAGGAAACATAGAGATGTTGCCTAAAAGGGCCCACCAGAAGCCCAGAGTCAACAAGGAGGGGACTTCGCACAACCCCAGAACACAGACCCCTAGAGAAAGGTGACAGCAGGTCTAACCACAGAGCACTGACATGGTCAATGAAGCAAGTCAAACACGGGGCCGCGAAAATTAACCAAAGTGGACTATGACATGGTTCTTCACTTCTTCCAATTGTTTATTTGTTTACCTTTTTGGTAAATAATTTTTTTATTTTGACATTGATTATTTAACTAAACAAGATATTTATGAATATTTTCTAAAGTTTGAATTTACATAAAAATATGACGAGTTGATAGGACGTTTGTTAGAAAAGATTGGCATTCAATCCAAATGGTTGGTATAAGAGATAAATGCAATCTTTTAAATAAAAAAAATAAAAATTGGATTCACATCATTAAGCTGTGTTTGGTCCGAGGAAAGAAAAAATAAAGAAGTAAGAAAGGAAGCTTCATTTCTCTTTTTTTTTTTTTTTTTTTTTTATCAGTTCAATTTTTGAAAAGAGAGGTGAGAGAAAATAAAAAACTGCCTGCACATATAATTTTAAATTTTAATTTAAAAAAAAAAACTTAAATAGATATCTATCTTTTATTATTTACATAAAAAAATATATATATCATTCTTATTAAAAACTTTCTCCTATCAGTGACTTGATCATTTGAGTTTTTCGGCTGGTGCCACACCATAGTTGTTGTATTGCAGAAAAATAGTGCCGTTCCAAATCTTGCTGATTTTCTCTTCAACAAATTTAATACAAAATTTATTTATACTATAGTAATTTGTAAGTTTCATTTAATATTTTTAATTAAATTATATTTTTTTTTTCTTTGTTGTTTGTTGTTTAGTTAATAAGAATATTGAGAAGTGAATGAATTGAAGAGAAATAAATATTTAAGGAATTTTTTTTAAGAATTTCAGCGTAATCTAATCACGTTGTATTCCCAATAGGAATCCACAATTAAGATAGAATAAATTATCATTTCTCAAGAATGTTTAAGGCTACATAATAACATTGTTCTTTTATTCCGAAACATTGTTATATACTGAAAAAGCTACAATTCTGCAGTAATTATTATTATTATTTTTTCTAGAACATTTGACCTACTTTAATTGAATGACAAAATTAATTGTTATTTATTATTCTCTATTGAACAATTGACTCATTCGTTGAAGACTCGGGTCTATTTGAAAATATGTATATGTGAAAGTCTATGGAAACATTTTCTAACAAGTTGGGAGTTCATCAAAATTGAATTTAGCATTCATTCCATGAGACTTATTATTCATCTAAAGTCATGGTCATCAAACTGAATTCAGTAATGAGATGCATTCTTCTTCAAGACCTGGTCTCATTCACATGAATTCTTCTTCCCGCCGTGTTAGATTGGATCGTCTCGCACATTGGTCAATGGCCCTGAGGAGGCCCCGGACGACATGGGCCGGATCCGACTCGCAAACACAACATTCAGTTCGTACAGCTGGGTCGGCCCATATAAAGACACTGCCATATGGGCCGAACGGGAGTAAGCCCATCAAAGGTGACCAGGGCTTATGGAGGAATAGGCCCAGATCCAGCAATCAGTAAATATCTTGTAAATATCTTGTAAATATCTATAAATAGGATATGGAATGGAGAGGTGAGGGGGCTTTTTGGGTTGAGGTGTAAGAATTCTAGAGAGAGAAAGAGGAGAAGGAATTTCTTGCATCTTCAATTGGCGCCGTCTGTGGGAAAGGCATGGAAGTTTGGTTGATCAATGAGGAATATCGAATGGATTCAAACCAATTCGGTTGATCGAGACTCGATCTTTGGGATTTGAATCCAGATCTGAGCGATTGTGACCTACTCTGGAGGAATTACAATTTTTGGAGCTTTGGCAGGAGTGACTTCAGATCTACGCAACAACGAGTTGTTCGATTGTGGCAGGATCTGACGGATTTAGAGTTCAGACAATTCAGATCTCGTAAACAGTGAGCATAATTCGGAGAATTAGAAGCCAGATCTAAAAATTCCTACTCACGAAGCACGGATCTACTCGCGAACTTGAGATTAATGCCTTTACTCCGTTCGGGAATAATGATAGGTGAAAGCTCCAATCCGATGGAGGCTGTCCAGCAAACAAAGCTTGAGGAGTTGATGAACTTGATTGAGGCTCTCAAAAAAGAGAATGCAGAATTGAAAGCTGGACTGCAACATCGGCAAATACCTGCGGTTTCGCATCCACTTCCAGTCGGAGAAGGAGGAGTTCAATCTAATATCGCGCATCAAGGCGAACAGGACGAGAACAATCAGTCAGCTCACCACCGTGATGAAAGGATGATGGACAATTTGCCGCCAAATGTTCATCGAGTTGAAGATCACGAAGGATCGACTCACGTTGATCCGCAGCGGGAAAGGTTCGACCGAGAGGAAGTGATGGAGGCTGATCGCCGTCGAATAGCGTCGCCTTGGCAAAGAGAGTTCATAGAGGAACGGTCGTTCGATCCGTCTTACCGGCCCTCCATGGTTACTATCACTCATCACGGTTCGGAGGGCAGAACCGTAACTCACAGAGCTACCGCTGGACTCCAGAGAGAGAATGAAGCTCTCCGATCCGCAGCTCGGACGGTGGATTCACCATTCACCGACGAGATCTTGAATGCCCCGCATCCAAGGAAGTTTGCTATGCCAGTCTTTATTCTGTTCGACGGAACGACCGATCCGATCGATCATGTGTATCATGTCCAGTTGAAAATGGCCCTGAATACGGAAAATGACTCTTTAATGTGCAAATGTTTCCCTACAAGCCTGGCTGGACCGGCGCTCAGCTGGTTCAAAAACTTGCCTAGGAGCTCCATTGGTAGTTTCAGAGACCTGTGCGATCGGTTCATAAGCCAGTACTATGGGAACAAACGCCCGCCGAAAGACATCTCGAGCCTATTCACGATGAGGCAGCACAAGGATGAACGTCTCCAGGCCTTTCTTACCAGGTTTAATCTCACTAAGAGTATGGTGATCGAATGCCACCCTTCTACGGCAGTTCAAGCCTTCAAGTTAGCCATGACACGCGGAACTCCGTTTCACACCAGTCTGGTAGTGAACACGCCGACTACTATGGATGAACTCAATGAGAGAGCCGATGGCTTTGTGCGCCTAGAAGAAGAGGAGGCAGCTAATGCTCGGACAACGTCGCTTGTGTCGACCGAGGAAAAGTCCAAGGCAAAGATCAGGCAGAAGCAGGCTCAGCCGCAACGTCAGACCTCTTGGAAGGCAGAAAAAAGGTCCAGGGAGGAAGAGTTGATTACTCCGCTGAAGGTCACTCTGGCGAGGCTGTATCAGGAGAACAAAGACAAGTTTCATCCACCACTGCCAATTAGGCAACCCCTCGAACAGAGGGATCAGAATAAACATTGTGCTTTTCATTCTGATTTCGGTCATCAGACTAACGAATGCAGGAACCTGAGGAGGCAAGTGGAGATGTTGATAGCTAGAGGGGAGTTCGCGAGTTATGTTCAAGGTTCGGCGATGGAGCAGAATCGACCGGTGGAACAAATAAAAAGGAGTCATAAACAAAGCTCCCACAATTCACAACCAGTTCGTATAATTAATGCTATCCATGGTCGACCCGAGCCTAGTGAAGAGTCAGATGAGCTGCTCCGGGTGCGCCTGCGACAGGCGCAGATGAAGAAAAGGGTCGGCAATGTGACTACTCTACACCAGCAGAGCCCGTCGATGCAGATAAAGTTCGACTGGACAGACCTGCAGCGTGTTCAACTGCCTCATGACGACCCGTTGGTAGTCAGTTTGAC